TGGTTCGAGTCCTGGACCCAGTGGCTCAAACTCACGCTGGGCGCGTGCGTGTGCATGCCCAAGGTCCCGAGAAGAGAAGGGAGGAGAAGGGATTGCGGCATGGCCCTCCCCCCTCGGGGGTGATTTCTCGCTTTCTGTCTCTCTGTCTCTCTCTGTCTCTCTGACGAGCACACGTGCCCTATAGCAAAAACCTCTCCCAAAAATAAATAAATAAATACAGAAATACAGAAATAAATAAATCAGAATATAAGTGATTCTTTGAAGCATGGTTCACCCACTGCCACTGTGTGTGTAACTAAGAGAACTTGAACTTTCCTTTGTAGGCACATGAGGCAACATTGGAAGCCAGAGCCAGTCCAGAGATGAGTGACCGGATCCAGCAGTTGGAGAGGGAGACCAGCAGGTACAAAGAGGAGTCCAGCAAAGCCCAAGCAGAGGTTGACCGCCTCCTGGAAATCCTGAAGGAGGTGGAGAATGAGAAGAATGACAAAGACAGGAAGATAGCTGAGCTGGAGAGGTGAGCGAAGGGGACTGGGTGGCCCTCGCTAATTAGACGGGTTTAAAATGTGCTTTTAGAACAGTGTACTTCGGGGGTGCACTTTTTAAATGTAGCTGCCTCTCAGTTTAGGTTCGTGGGTGCATGATATTACTTTATTATCTACATTTTGTTCTAAGTCAATGTAAATTATTTGTTGCAGTCGCTAAAAGGCAACATAGGAAATAAATTGGGAAACTACAAACTTACACATCACTGAAAGGCAAAAGAGAAAGTATTGATTAATTAAGAGATTATAATTTCTAACTGACCAATCAAGAGAGTACAAATAGTTATTTGCTGTTTCTATGCTTTCTCTATGTAACGAGCAAATCGTTCTCCAGTGCAAGGTGCTGCTGTCTTCCGTGGTGTAGACCTTGTGTTGTTGAGCCAGGGCTCTGATGAGCTGTGAGTGGGTAGACTTTCCACGACTCACATTATAGAGAAGGAAGCTACTACGGCAGCCCGTCGGTCAGAATCAGGAGGGGCATTCGAGGACAAATTTAGGAGACTTGTGTGTGATTTCGAAGAAGCCCTGACTTAAATTCTGGGCTGGTTTTGAGTAGAGCCAGCCAGCGCACTCTGTTAGAATTCTCTTTTTTTTCTTATTAGTGTATTTCATAGTAAAGATCAAGCCTCTTGACCTCTTCTGTTATATATTTCACATGAAGTCACAGTGTATAGAAACTGCCCTTCTGTTACGCCTTCAATAATCACCCATGTTCTCTGGACAGCCAGCAACAGGGACAGTGACAGAGGGAGGTCAGTGACGTGTGTGCTCCTTGGGGCCTGACCTCAGGAGCCGTTTATTGTCACACTCTGAAAGGCCAGCCAGATGAGACGACTTCCACAAATTGCCTACTGAGTTTTAAATTTCGAGTTTACGTGTAGACTTGATGTTTTCCTCTGAGAGTAATGTCTTCCCTATCCTGTACCCATAGAACTTTGATTTTCAAGAAACACATACACACACACACACACATACACACACACACACACCCCACCTACTCACGTGCTTGCTTACCCTTTGTTTTTGTGTACGGGCCCGAGAACAGCAGCAGTACTGCATGAACATTGAAAATGGTACTTTTCACTGACTAGTGACTTCCCATTAAGTATATTTCAGAAAAGACATTCCTTGAGAAATTTGTTTCCTTTTATTCTTGGCTTGGTTTCTGGTATTAGAAATCTACATCTGAAATTATTGCTTGCTATTTCAAGCAAGTAGCTTGGAAACGTTTTTGATTCATTTTTGAACCCAAAACTGATTTTGAGAGATGGATGTGTTTGAGAATGAAACATAGGAATAAGTCTGTATTTTCATATCTAAGCACACCAGATAGCAGCGTTTATGCCACTATACTTCGCATATTTTGAGGAACAGGATGACATGCTGTCTCCAAGGATGGGGTGCTAACAGTCAGTACTAGCAGTCGAGTCTCCGTCCTCTGGTCAGCCAGCATTGCCATTTTGTTTCAGATTTGACACACAATTTCTTGGATATAGAAAACGCAGGACAGGGAGGCCGCCCTTACTCAGCTTTTGCTACCCGCTTTGTACTTTGTTATTCAGTAACATAGTGTAAGGTGCTGAACCAAAAGTAGAGTGATAGGGACCAGCAGTTAGTGTGGTGGCTATGTCGCTGGACCTAGTGGCTTAGACTCAAGCCGGGCACGTGTGCGTGTGTGTCCAAAGTCCCGAGAGGAGAATGGAGGAGAAGGGATTGCAGTGTGGCCATCCCCCCTGGGGGGTGATTTCTTGCTTTCTGTCTCTCTGTGTCTCTCTGTCTTTCTGGTGCATGTACCCTATAGCAAAAAAACAAACAAACAAGAAACAAACAAACAAAAAAAACAAAAAAACCAAACCTCTACCCCCAAAAAACAAAAAAGGAGAGTGATAGAATTTGTGAGTGAGATCTGTCGTGGCATTTATGGATGAGGAAACCATAATCAGAGAAGTTATTCTTGAAGTTACACACTGGTCGAGCCGGCAGAGCTAAGAACAGGGTTTCTCTCCAACTGAGTTTTCTTTTTGTCCCACAAAAACTAGTTGTGCTCCTTGAGACTTACTGTCTACTGCTATCTGAAGATCATTTTGCCCCTTCTTGACCCAATGTCTGAAGTGAAAGTGGCTCCATTTAGTACTGGGGTTTACGTAGAAATAAGATAGAGTGTAGGCTCACCTATGCCCTTGAATGCCATTTTCATCAACTGACCTTTGCCTGTCCTAGGGGACAGTCAGTATTCCTGTATCAGAGACAGCGGGGGTGTAAGAGATAGCGGGGGTGTAATGTAAGAGACAGTGGGAGGGTAAGAGACAGCGGAGATGTAATGTAAGAGACAGTGGGAGGGTAAGAGACAGCGGGGGTGTAATGTAAGAGACAGTGGGAGGATAAGAGACAGCGGAGATGTAATGTAAGAGACAGTGGGAGGGTAAGAGACAGCGGGGGTGTAATGTAAGAGACAGTGGGAGGATAAGAGACAGCGGAGATGTAATGTAAGAGACAGTGGGAGGGTAAGAGACAGCGGGGGTGTAATGTAAGAGACAGTGGGAGGGTAAGAGACAGTGGGGCTGTAAGAGACAGCACGGGTGTAACAGACAGTGGGACGTTGGAGACAGTGGGACGTTGGAGACAGTGGGACGTTGGAGACAGTGGGGGTATAAGAGACAGTGGGGGTGTAAGAGACAGCAGGGGTGTAGGAGACAGAGGGATGTTGGAGACAGTGGGGGTGTAAGAGACAGAGGGAATACAAGAGACAGCGGGGGTGTAAGAGACAGCGGGGGATGTAGAGACAGCGGGGGTGTAAGAGAGTGGGACGTTGGAGACAGTGGGGGTGTAGGAGACAGTGGGGGTGTGAGAGACTGTGGGGGTGTCAGAGACAGCGGGGGTGTAAGAGACAGTGGGGGTGTAAGAGACAGCAGGGGATGTAGAGACAGCGGGCATGTAAGAGAGTGGGACGTTGGAGACAGTGGGGGTGTAGGAGACAGTGGGGGTGTAAGAGACAGCAGGGGATGTAGAGACAGCGGGCATGTAAGAGAGTGGGACGTTGGAGACAGTGGGGGTGTAGGAGACAGTGGGGGTGTGAGAGACTGTGGGGGTGTGAGAGACAGCGGGGGTGTAAGAGACAGCAGGGGATGTAGAGACAGCGGGGATGGGGTTCTGTTAGGCCTTTGCCCCAGATGAAGTACCGAGGGGCACGCGTGTGGTGCTGTGTTTGCGGCCTGCTTCCCGTGTAGGCACTCCTTCTCCCTGTGTGGGGCCTGTCTCCCTGTAACTTCCCATTTGGGCTTCTCTACCTCCGTCTGTCTTCCCACGGTCCTGCTCCACTGCGGTTTTGGTCTCCGCCTTTCTATGCGTATGGCCCCTCTGCCCTTTGGCCATGCTGGTTCTCAGAAAGCCAGTCTCCCGCGAATTGTCCCCTCCATGCCAAGTTTCTGTCCCTGCACCGTCAGGAGGTTTGTTTGGGACTTCCTGGGAAGGTGAGTGTCGCGTGGCCCACAGCCGTTAGGTGGGTCGCTGCTGCTGCTCTGGCTCCTGCTGGGCTTGCTGGCACGTGCGCTTGTCAGAGCTGCAGACCCGCCTTCACGTGTGCAGTCCGACTGCACCCTGGATACACGGCCGGGGTAAGACCATGCTCTGCTCTCTGTTAGCCCTGTGCAAGTCCACCTCTCATGTGGTGGTTCTCGGACTGGAACGCCCTCTCACTGCTGTAGCTAATTCAGTCGGTAGGACTCGCTCCTAAAGGTACCTAAGTACGAACACAAAAACAGATCGTTCTAATCATTGAACTCAAGAAATGTTTAGTGTTCTTGCAGTTTGCAGTACTTGTTTACGGCACTCTCCAGTATTAAGCAGTTTGGCTAAGCTATGATAATGCCCAGACATACTCATTACGTCGTAGAGCTGTGAAGGATTCATCTCTTCCCATGTTGGCTCCTACAGAAAATAGTAGTTCCTGTCAGATGATTTGGTGTTGTATCACCCCCTTAACCTCCTGCACTTCTTGTTTTGTTTGTTTCTTTGTAAAGAAGTTTTTGCCTTGGAATGTGTGCTCTCACTGGAGAGAGAGACAGAGACAATGAGAGGGACAGTGAGACATCATCCCCTGGGAGGATGGCCACACCGCAGTCCTCCTCCTCCTCCATTCTCCTCCTGGGATCTTAGACACATATGCACATGTGCCTGGCATGATTTTCAAGCCACCGAGTCCAGGACTCCAACCGCAGTCACCCATGTGGCAGTCTAATGATGCTGTCTGCTGGCCCCACCTTCTGCAGTTTAAAAGATCATCCAGGAAGCTGACTGTACACTAATCTGTAAATATAAAATCTTCTTGCCATTTTAAATTCATGTTTTGTGCTGTGGTGTTTCTAGCTGGAATTGAGTGAGAGAAGCAGACGAGTAGGACACACAGACACACGGAAACATACGTGCATGCCTTACACAGCTTAGTATGAGAATCGTCTCACATGGGTTTGGGAGCTGGCTGAGCAAGGTCCAAATCCTTACAGCAGGCCATCGGCAAGCGAAGGTGGCGAGCAGCTTGGACTCACAGGCACCAGCCAGGCCTCTGGTCCTCAGGCGGATTCTTTTGTCTCCCGGGAAGACCTCAACCCTGTTTTTAAGACCTTCCAAAGGATTCCATTTTGCCCACTCCGATGGTCTAGGATCATCTCCCTTGCTTAAACTGATTGGGGTTTAATTACGTCGGCAAAACACCTTCACCGCTGCATGCACTAGCCTTGGTCGGTGACCAGGCACTGCAGCCTAGCCAGGTTAATACAGGGAAGGCTCATCGGGTAGTCTGGATGGGGGAGACAAACCCAGCTGGAGTCTGAGATACCCGTGCTTAAGGAGATGGAGTTAGATTAGCCTGAGGAACCCCGAATGTAATGAGGCTTTCTCTTCTAAAATGAGCATGTTAGAATTTCTATTTAGGTTCACAGTGCTCAGCTTTTCTTTGACCCGATGTTTAAAATAT